GCAACTCCGTTGTCTCCGGCGTACTTCCGGCATGCGACTGAGTGTAGTTAGCGTTAGGAAAAAAAAAAGTGTAGTAGGAATTGTCCTTCTTTCTTTTTTTTTTTCAAAGTAATAGTGGACGGGAATTTTGAGCGATGATGGGAATTTGAGGAAAGAAGTGGTGGTGGGGAAAATTTTGCTGTGATGAACGTGCTGCGGCGGCGTATGTGTGCATGTGTGTGTGTGCGTGTGTGCGTGCATCTGTGTGTGCGTGTTTGGCTTTCTCGCTAATGCCTTCTACGCTGTGAAGTTTCTGTTGTAGCTCCTTTGTTGTTCTTTTTTTTTTCCTCCCTCCCTGCTTCTTCTGGCTCTCGCTTTGCATGCAACGCTGCCTTGGACAAGGGGAAACAAAAGAGTCACTGCGGGGTGCGGGCGGGGTGAGCGCGAAGGTAGGGCGAGTTTTTTGGCACAAAACAGCAGCATCGTCAGAGGGAGGAAGAGAAAAAGGAGCATCTCGGGGGATACTCAATCAACGGGGCATTCTAGAGCGGGGCGTCGCAGGAGAAGCGGATAAAGGCGCAGTGACGGATTAACTTCGCGGGAAACAGCCTCTGTGTTCTGTGGAAACACTGCCGCGCTGGCGTCTATGCACACTGACGTCGACACCGTGGAGCGCGGTGGGGCCCCGCCGCTTTCTTTCCTCTTGCCCCCGCCGGCGCCGTCCGATGCCTCCGCCGCTGAGAACGCGTCGAGGACGGCGGACCAGTGGTTGTGGTACTTTTACCTCACAGCCTGGTCTCGCCCTTTTTTCTTCCACGGCCCGCCACCACGCCCCGCATGCGCGGGCGACGGTAGTTACAAGGTTCGTATGGGGAAGGGGGGAGCTGGGGTTTTTGGCCTGACCCTTGAGGAATCGCTGGCGACGGTGGGATTTCCTGCAGCCGATGTGGTCGCGGCATACGAGGCGCAGTGGCCGCGTTTCTCTCAGACCTCGGGCGGGGCTGAAGTGCGGGCAAAGTCCCTGGCAAGGATAGACGGCGATTGCGCGTATCCTCCGCTCCCTCGTGTGGCTGAATCGTGCTTTGGGCGGGTATTTCGGGCCCTGGCCGTCCATGGCCACGTCGCCGCACCCGCGCCGCCGTCGTCGTTGGCACCGCCCTCCAGCTCCGTGGCAAAGTTGGCTCAACAGGCCCTGGCTGTCGCACGGCGGCAGCTGCAGTTATGCCCGGAGGAGGCTGCAGGGACGGCGGTAACGGAAGAGAAGCTGATTCAAAGCGCCCTCCAAGCGATGCTTGCACCGGATGCCATAGCGGCGCAGTGTTCTCTCTTACTCACGCTGGAGAGCACAGCCTCCACCGATGACAGTGGTGGGGCTAAGAAGAAGAAAGGGGCAGAGGCGGAAGAAGAAGACGAATTCATAAGAGAGGCCCATTGCGCCCGTCTGTTTGCCGCACTCACCATGGAAGCATTTTCACGCGTAAAAAAGGCGTGTGCCTGCATGCTGCTGGCATATGTAGGCGCCAGTAATAGTGGTGGGGTGGCAAAAGCCCGGGCATGCGGCGTCGTCATGGGAATCGTGGAATACGCCGTCGCGTACCGCTGCTACCGCGACGATGGGACGGGACGGTGTCCGTTGAGTGCCGCAGCGCTCCTGCTTTGCACCCTTGTGGAGCTGCAGGATGCCCTGACGCGAGAAAAGGTGCAGAGCCATGGGAAAGAAGATCCGGACGAGGAGGGGGTGTCTGGGGGTCTTTTTGCCACCCTCACAGTGGCGTGTCTGCAGGAACTTTTTTTTGCCGCCGTTGTGGGCGGCCCAGTGGCACCGCATCGCCTCCCTCCCCTTCTTGTTGCGAAGGGCGCGACAAGATCGGTCGGCAAGGTCGTTGGGAGGAATAAGCCGCAGCAGCAGGAAGAGGATCTCGCCTTTCAAATGCCGGTTCGCCCAGCGGTGGCGCGCGCACTGGCCCTACACGAGGTCGACGCGCTTCTGCAGATACTCCTGCCAGTGTTACTACAGCAAGTGGGGTTCGAATGGCCCTGGTCGGAGTGTCTGCGACGGGCGCGGGTTCTGGACAAATTACCGCAGGAAAGTGTAGTAACGGCCGAGGGAGTGCGGCTTAGCAGTCGCGCGGCGTTCGATGAGCTCCTCGCCGCTGTTGGACGCCGCACGTATGTGTCACGTTTACAAAATATTATGCCGCAGAGCTACGAATCCTTGTTTGCCGCGGCCTTTCCCACCGCTGCCGACGACGACAACGTTGCGCACGCTGAGGACGGCGAGGGCGCAGGCAGGGCAGGCGGGCGGCAACCCCTTTTTCTGCTCCCGGCCTACTACCAAGCTGCCGGGGCGGTGCTGGTAGAGTTTTTTGAGAGTTCTGGGCTCGGTGGGGCGACGGCGCGGGAGACGGAGCGAGTCTTGATCCGCAGCACCGATGTGCAGCCGATGATTGTGCAGCTGCAAGCTTTCGGAAGCCACACGGACGGCGCCGACGACGGCGAGGCTCATACTCATCTCACGGACGACGGTGATCTGCTTTCCACCGCACGCCTCTCGGAGGATGAGAAACACAGACTACTGCTGCGTTACCGTTGCGAGGTGCTGTTGGCCTCTCTGGTGGTGTACACGCAGCTGCAAACCGTTAGCCTCGTGCAGCAGCTGCTGCGGCAGCTGGCGCCGTTATTTGAAAAACTTTTACTGCCACTCATGCAGGAACGCGCGCTGACGCGCCCCTTTGTGGCGCAGCGACGGCCAACTTCTCTAAATGGTGGCAATGCCTCTGCTGGATGGACGGTAGACTTCACGCCGGAGTTCAAGGTCTTGATGGACGACATTCGCTACGAGTTCTATCCGCTTGAATGGGTCCCGGAGGCTCTCAACGCCCAGCTGCGATGGCAGGCTTCCGAAACGGACGCTTCACATCTCGCCTTCTACTCGGTGTTTGCCGCGGTGGCTTACCAGTTCGGTCTCGCCTTGCACGCGGGCCCGCAGGGGCTGCGGGGTGGGGATGCTACGGAGCACAAGGTTCGTATGAAGGCCTACCGTTTTTTTCACGTCTTGTTGCTGAACACCCTGGTGGATGCGGTGGCGTCTTCCTGTGAGTTGGAGGGTGCAATGGCGTTGGCGGCGACACGGCGCGTTGGCAGGACCCAGCGGGATGCTGATCACAGTAATAAGAATAATAATATTTCCACGGACGAGAGCGTCCAGGCTCAACAGCTGCGGCAGTGCGGGGCGGCGTCGTTTCACGCCGTGGTTAACCCACACGATGTGCTTCTTGCACTGGCGCAGTCTCTGCTGCCCCCCGAGTTGGTTTTACGCCCACAGCCCGCGGCGGTGGTAGACGTGGAGGGCCAACGCCCAAGTGAGGAGTTGCTGCACCGTGTCATTGCGTGGTCGCAGTCAGCGAGAACGCGCTGGACGATGCAGCTGCAGAAGGGGACAGGCTCAACGACGCCCCTTGCGTCGCTGCCTAATAGCCTCACCTTCGACGCGGTCCCGCTTGCGCGCGAGGTGGTTCGCGGGGTTCGGCGACGGCTGATTGAGAAGCTGCACGTCAAATTAGTGCCCGAGACAACGGGGCACCGCAGTTTTCCCGACGCACTTCTCCAGCAGCACCTTTTGGGCCTGCAGACGCTTCTCGAGAGCCTTGCCTTGCTGCCGCAGCACCCCAGTGAAGACAACGCGGCAACGCCCTCAGCGGCCCAATTATTGTGGTCCTCGCCGCTTTTCTCACACGAGCTGCGGCTCAGTGCCAGCCTGCACCGTGAGCGCATAGACGCACCTCTGCAGTGAGAGGCGACTGCGTGCTGGGAAAATTGACGGAACAAGGACTGGCGGGCAGAAAAGCGGGAGGGAGGGCAATAGCAGGGCAAAGATGTGGGAACAAAGAACATATGCATATATATATATATATTCCCTCCCTCCCCCTTCCTTCCTTCCTTCCTTCCTTCCTTTTTTTTTGTATGTATTATCGTGCCATTCCAAAATTCACTGGGCGTAGCTTTCTTTCTTTATCTCTATCTCTCTTCTTCTTGCTACCCTTGTAGTTGCAAAGTGGTCAAGCGACCCAGGGCCCTATGATCCCCTCAGCCTCGCGCCGCGGAGCGGGAGATGCGGCCGCGCCCCTTTCGACTTCGGCTGGAGCTGCTGCATCCCCGGCTGCGCCCTTCGCATTCGCCCCAAATGAACTTGATGCTCTCTCCGTGTCAGAGCTGCGCGCCGGCATGCAGCAATTTCTTCGCTCCAGTGGTGCTTTAGGCTCGCTCAAGACGCAGCTCCGCAGCGTTATCGTCTCCGAGTTGCTGAAGCGGCAAGGGCCCTCCCCTAAAGCTTCCGCGGCCCGACAGGGGCGTGAGGGCGGAGGTGACGACTGCGGCAGCGAGGAAGTAGAGGACGATGCGTGGACACAACGGCTTGCGGACGCGCTGGTAGAGAGCCACCTGCGACACACTGGCCGCTCCTTTTCACTCGCCATCTTCAGCAGTGAGGCGGACGTCTCCTTTGGATCGGGTGGGGACGACGCACTGGCAGGGCTGCTGCACCTCAACACCTCGGTGACGCTGCGACGGCGGACAAGCCTCTTGCACTCGGTGTTGGAGGCATACCTGCGGCAGGTGGGTGACGCACGCGGAATGCCACCCGGGTACACGGTAGGAACGCAGACCGACATTAGTGAAACGGAACTGTCACCGCCGCCCCTCGAGGTTCGCCTCGCCGCAGTAGATGCAAAGTATGCGCTCTCCTTTTCGCGTCTCCGTGAATCGACACGGGAGGAGGTGGATCGTCGCATGCTCGCCTATCGGGAGGAGCTACAGGTGCAGATGGAGCAGGGCTACCAGCAGCGGTTGCGAACGTTTGAGCAACAGCAGCTGCATGAGGCTCGACGAGCCGCGGAGGAACACTACGGGATTCTGTTGCAGCATAAAATGGAGGAGATGCGGGAGATGGAGCGGGCAGGTGTGCAACGCATAGAGGCCGAGCGTGCACGGTTAGGGCAGGCTCGCGATGAGGTGGAACTACAGCGCGTCGAACTCGAGCGTCGACACCGTGATTTACAGGGGCTGCTTGAGGAGCGTGACAAGGCGGTTGTGGCGGTGGAGGGACGCCTGCGCGACGCGAAGCAGCAGATACGCGTCTTGACCACTCAAGTGCAACAGTACGAAGAACTGTGTGGGGTGCGACTTGCCGAGGCCGATGCCGCGCGCGATCGGGAGTGGCGGCGGGTGGAAGACCTCCGTCGTCTCCAAGCCGAGCACCTCGCAGAGTTGCAGCTGAAGGACGAGGAGATAGGTCGTCTGCGGTTTCGTCTGAAGTCGATCCTCGCGGCCCACGGAGTCGGCAACTGGCGCGACGAAGTGGGGGGAGCGGGAGAAGAGGAGAGGGCGGTCAGCCTTCGCGAGGGGCTGGCAAAGGCAAATGCGTTCCAGGAACGCGTGTCGGCCGCGGCTGACGCTCCGCTGCAACGCAATCGGCAGCTGCGCGACGCCGCTTGGCTTTCCGCATGGCAGTCGACTGCGCCCCCAGAGCGGGGGGAGGCGAGGAACGCAGACGGGCGGAGTTACCCCGCAGAGCTGCAGGTTGTACTCCAGCCCGCGCGATCCGTCGTGCAGAGCTCTCAAGAGCAAAAACGGCAGCCGCAGCCGCAGCCGCAAGAAGAAGAGGGGAAAGTTAAGGAGCCCCGTGCGTCAAGTCCACCGCCCGCTACGGCCCTTGTGGCCACCGATGCTGCCGGCCCGTGTCCTGTCACGGAGGCCGCGGAGTCCTTCTCCACTCGTCCAGCCTTGGCCGCCGTGGAAGTGTCACCTCGGGCGTTGGAAGGTAATAAGCTCGAGGGAGAAGAGCGGCGAAAAGATGTTGGCGGCGGCGGCGGCGGCGGAGAGCGTGGCAGCAGTGCTAGTATCCAGAGTGGCAGGGAGGGGGGTGACGGATGCAAAGGTAAAATTACCTCCGTCGGCGTCGGCGTCGGCGTCGTCGCGGTCCCAGGCCAACAACAGGCAAACCGTCGTCTCCACTGCCTCCGGGAGGTGGGAGCCCCACTCACCGTCACCCTCCTCCCCGTCTGTGCGTTCCTCCTCTTCGAGGTCGGTGCCGGTGGGCAAACAAATGTCCACCCCCAGCACCACCTCCTCAACCCCTCGGCTAAAGGAGGAGCAAGACGCAGTTCAGAGAGATGAGGCAAATGGACGCGCAGCCGTTGAGGCGGATGAGGATACGGCCCGTCGTGGAATTGCATGGGCTGCAAAGTCGCAGTACGCGGTGTTGATGCAACGACAAGATGCGGAAGAGAAGGAAAAGGATGGCTCCGGCGGTGGGCGTGGCACGTCGTCGCTAGACGCCTACGTGGCCCAGGCCCGTCAACGGCAGCAGGCAACAGAGAACATCATGATTCATCGTGACTCTGACGACGACGTTGACAGTGACATTCTCTTCGGTCGAAGAGAGAGTAGTGATGGATCTTTTTAGTAACCTATCTCTCTCTTTCTCTGCGCATGTGTGTGTCTGGGGAGGCAGGCGGGGGGGGGGGGTCATGGAAGTTGGTGTTGTTGCGGCCCACTCTACTTCTCCGTTTGCTGTGTCTGTGTACGTGTGTTGTGTGTCGTGTGTTGCGCGGGGCCGCTGGAGCGGGTGCGTGAGTGAGTGAGGAGGTGGGGGGTGCGAAGAAGGGAAGTAACTTTTTTTTTTTTTAGAAGGAAAGGCGTTTTCCTCCTCCTATTCTTCTGCATGTACTTGCGTTTGTGTGGTCGAGCGGGGCGTGTGTGGTCCATTGATCTTGCTTCGTACTTGTTTGCCTCTCCCTTCCTTCTGCTTTGACCGTCAAGCGTGAAATGGGAGCAGAGTGGCAAAATGTCTTTGGAGACTGTGACGAACATGCCGGGGATTTCGCCGACGAGGCTGCCACGGGTGCAAAAGATAACTCCGCTCCTGGCCGCCAACCTCATTCAGCCCTTTTCCACGAGTGCCACCCCTCGTGCGGACAATGCGATGCAGCTTTCACTGGGGCACTATGAGCCACCCAACAAGTCCCCCACCTCGAGCGGCGGGGCCGCGACGAGGGTGTCGAACTGTCGTGTACGGAGCGGCAGCCTGAACTTAAGCATTACGACCATCCCCGAGGAAATTGATGCGGGGACGTCGGAGGTGGCGACGAGGGCTGTGGTGCAGCGGCCACGGGACCCGCACACCTTCGTCTCGAAGCGTGTCGTGTCAAGCAAAACAGCTGCCCTCTTCGACGTATTTGGCCATTACCCGCGCCCAGTCAATGATGGGCAAGCGCGACGGATGGATGCAACACTGTACAAACAACGCGGTTCCCAGTCGATTGATGCCCCCCCTAGGAGCTCCTGCAGCAGCGTTATAGATGAGTGCCTTGCCGTTCGTCTCGTCACCCCCGACGATAATTGCAGACAGAGTGAGGACGTTCGTGGACTAGATCCAAGCCTCCCGCCGTTGACCAACACCTTTGGGCCGATGCGTATTGTTCCCAATCCAGTCACTACAACACCCGTGCTGCGGGGATCCACATTCCAAATGAAGTCTTCTGCACCACGTTGTGGGGACGAATAGCAACGCCGTGCGGCCCGCGTGCCTTTTCTCGCAGTGGTCATATAAAAACAAAGTCTGTTGCGCGTGACGGTTTAAAAAAAAAACATACATACTACTTTGGAGTGTCGCACGACGACTATCCATTCTTTGCATTTTGTGACGTAAGTCGCAGGAAGAGGGGCAGTAACTGAGCTGCAAAAGGAGATGCGTGGGTGTTGCCTCCGTGTCCGCATCAGCCCTTATGGCCGGTTATGGTTGCTCCCCACGGCCCACAGGGCCACACCGTCGGATCTCTCCAATGTCCATTTCGTTGCTCGCGTGCACAACAAAGCCCGTGTGACTCAAGCAGGCCGAGTCGTGGCAAGTGAATTTCGTACAGCCAAACGCGACTCCGAAAGGAAAGTTTCGGAAAACTCGCTGAGACACACTGAGGCGAAGAACAAATCGACGCACACACAGAGAAAAAAAATGAAGTGGGGGTGTAGCAGGCAGCTGTTTTCTCCTTTTCAGGTGGGGAGGATTCTTCTGGTTCCCATCACTACAACCCTGAAGGGGTTAATTATTACGGTCTCTATGAGGGGGCTTTGTTTTTTTTGTTTTTTTTTGGCCTTACTTTTTCTTTCTGGACTATTTTATGCGTGTATTTCTGACCCAGCATCCGTCCCACTTATCACTGTCCGCAGCACAGTGTGGGAGACGAGGGCGCGGTGAGGGTCGTGGCATAGGAATATTGTCTGCGCGCCCCGGCAGGGGAACAAAGGTGAAGGTGGCGGTGGTGCTGGGAGAAGAAATGCATGCTCCGATAGGAAAACTCCCCCCCGCTGAGCCTCGGTAGGTGTGCTCTGAATTTTTGTCGCCTCTGCGGGCGGGACGACGCACCGAGGGCGGGATAGGGAGGGAAAACAAAACCAAACAAAAAAAAGAATAATTATTTATTATTGTAGTAACGCAAAATCCAACTGTAAACTAATTTGGCGCATTCCTTCCCGAACTACACCACAGCGCAGCAATGAAGAAGAAAAAATAAAGACAAAAAATTGGGATGAAATGTCAATAAAAATGGAAAATGAAAATAAAATAAAATTAGAAAAAAATAAAAAGAAAAAGAAAAAGAATTATACTGAGCGAGGAAGAGAGGCTTTGACAGCAGGGGCAGGAGGGGGTGAAAGCAAACCCCTTTTTGAAGCCTTAGTACTGTTCCACATTGATAGCTCTGCCAAATCGTACATACAGGGGTAAACTACAGCATTGTATACCCCCAACATGCGTAACTGCATTTTGCTAACGCTGTGGGTTTTCACTAATTCCACGCATGTGCATGTTATTTTTATGTTCTTGTTTTTGTTTTCAAGTTTTCAATGCGTGCGTTGCGTGCCAGTGAGGAAAGTGGGCTGCACACGCCGAACCACGTGGTCTGAGACCAAGAAATGGAACGGCATCCGCGCAGCATCATTGGAACGTGACAGAGACGCATGTGTTTCAATGTGTGTGTGCCTTTTTTTTTTGATTTCTTTTGCTTTGATGTATCAGAAACGGGCGGAAAGAGCATTATGGATGAGAAGTTGCTTACCAAATTCCCTAGTTGCATTACTTTCATGTTACCCTTGTTGTGTTTCTCTCGGCTGGTCATGAATGGATTGCGGTTGGACCGGCTAGGGGTTGCGGTGAGCGATATATTTATATTTTTGTCATTATTATTTTTTTTGTCATATCAGCCGAATTCCCTTTGGGCCCACCTCGCTGCGGTGCTTCGGGGGCGGTTTGGGGAGGCGGGAACCCAACGGAGCTGTCCCTTTTTTGGCGTAGCATTGATAGAGGCTGTCTGGCATTCATGAACACGCGTTGTTTGGTTGCTGTTGTTGTTTGCGAGCTACACCACTTACTTGCATGTTGGTCAGTTTCTGTTGACTGATTCAGTTGGCATCTTCCGTGTTTCCCACCTCCAAGTGGCAACTTCCAGAGGGTGCATTTCGTGGTTTAACTGCTTTTTTTTGTTTTTGATTGCTTGTTTTGCCGCGCATTTTATTGTTTTTTTTTTTTTGTCTTTTGCTTTGCTTTTTTCAGTTTATGCCCGAACGCCCCGCAAAAAATGAGTGTCCCGCCCTATTCTCAGCAATGGGGAGGGAAACACCCTACCGAGGAAATGACAAGAAGTTGGTGGGGAGCAACAATAACAGCAGCAGCTGCTGCTGCTGCGGAGATGTAGACGGGGAGAGAGGCAAAGTGGGCAAAAGAAAGGAAAAGAAAAGGGAGAAGTAGGACGCCAACGAGGAGTATGCCTCCATGACGAATTCGAAATGTAAATTCAGTAACGCAGTGGGTCAAGCGGAGAGATAAGCAAAGTATTTGTATGTATATTAGCACTGCGGCTTACCCACCTTCTTATTTCTATTTGTCACTTTATGACCGTCATTTCTCCCTTTTACTTTTTACTTTTTTACTTTTGCCTATCTTTGGCACATCTCGCAAGACAAGTTGGCCTGGTCGTGTTTTTTGTTTGTTTGTTTTTCTTTTTCTTTTTGTTTTTGTTTTTGTTTTTGTTTCTGTGCCTGGCCAGAATTCCTCTCCTGTTATCTCGTTGTTAATATTTTTTTTTCCGAGCTGTTTATATCAAATCCGCTTCTCGCGGGCACGCCGCGTGTGGTGGGAAGGTCTCCACTGTACGTGTGGGGAGGGGGGTGTGGGGCCCATGCGTCCCGTGTGTGGATATCCCTCACGACGCCTCGCTCCCCCTCCCCCCACACCTGACGCAGTTTCTGTGCTCTCTCTCTCGCTGCCTCATGCCCCCGACCTTCTCTCCTCCACCTGGGGACGTAGTGAAGATGACGCATCGGCGGGTAAGGGAAGGGCCCTCGCCTTCGCCAAAGCGAGCGCGCGCGGGGCTTTCACCGCCCCCACTGCCGCCTCGCTCGCTGACGCTGGAGCGGGACGCCAAGGCTTTGCAGGCGATGTTGCAGGAAATAGACGAGGCCTTCCACCTCAATGACGACGATAACGAGCGGCGACTGCGACTGCGTCAGTTGGGGGAGCAGCAGATGGTGCTACAGCGCCTTTGCGAGGCGGCACTCCAGACGGAGGAGGGTCTTGGCGGTAGCACGGTGCGCCCTAGGGCGGGCGCCGACGCCGCGAACGGTAGACCCGCGGAGGCGGGCATTGTGTTGACTCCGCGCTCCTTGGAAAGCCTCTCGACGTACGGCGATGTGGGGGCGACAGTAATGGGGCGCAGCGCCAGCCGCACGGATGCCGGCTCCCTGCCGCGGTCGGCGCCCCTCTTGCCGCCCTACGGGCCCTCGAAGGAGGCGCTATCCGCCACACGTACTGCGCAACCGTTTTGCAAGGACTCAGTCGGCATCTCACCGCCTCTAGAATCTCCTGTGGCGGAGGCCGCCTCGACCCGTGCGCCCGCGAGGCGAGAAACACTACCCCCCTTGTCTTCCCCCGCGTTAGTTGAGGACACCGCATTAGAGAAAGAGCGACGCCTCATTGAGGAATTTCTTGGGGTGGCAGGGGCGGAATCCGCCGCCCACCCGTATGCGGCCGCAGGGAACGAGAGGCGAGGGCCGGCGGCCAACGGGGTGGTGCCGTTTGTGCCACGGCTGAACCTCCAACGCCTCGGCGGGAACCCGCCTACGCGCGGTCCCGCCGCACAAGATGACTTGCACGCAGAGAATTTCGATGTGAGGGAAGAGGAGCAGCTGCTAAGGTGCCTCGTGCAGAGAGAGCCGCAACGCTCGGAAGACCCCTTGCCGGAGGCCTGCACGGCCCCAATCTCTCGCTCTGGTGAGGCTCTGGGAGAGCTGGGAACTCCCAGCGCACAGGCGGAAACCTCGCCGCACGCACGAGAAAGGAGTTTTTCTGCACCTTCCGACATCCCGGCGGCCCCGCGTCGCAACGGCAACGAGCCTCACCGCCCAGCTTCATCGTATATTGAGGGCAACGCAGCCACCAGTGCGGAAAAGAGGAAGGATGAAGAGGTGCCCGCCTCCCACACTGGTGAGACGCAGGAGTTGTTACAAGAAAATATCGATCTCCACACGGAGCTGGAGACGCAGGATGTTGCCCTTCGGGAGTTGACGCGAAAAACAGAAACTCTCGCCCGTCATCTTGTCAAGTCCATGCGAGACCGAACTCAACTCCAAACTCGTGTGGAGGAGTTAGAGGCGTCCGTTGCTCGCGCAAACTACAAGGTTCAAAGCCTGCAAAGGGCGGCGGAGGAGCAGAATAAGGTGACGTGTGCCGTGGATGTATGGCGTGCGGCTGTGCATGCCAAGGAGCGTGAACTGCGTATTTGCGAGGAAGAGCTCTGTCGTCTGCGTGGCATTGTTGAAGAGCGTGTAATGCGCTCTGGAAAAGCATTGTTGCAGCATGACGCCGCCGTGGACCTCGCACAGGTAAAGAGCGACGTTGAGGAGCTTCTTCTTGAAATCGCATCCACCCACGTTCTTCGGCGTGAGGCTGAGGCGCACGCGGAACGCATTTCAGATGAGTTGGAGGCGGCGCAGTCGCACATACAACTCCTTGACAACCGTCTGGCTGAGGCCGAGAGGACGGTGGCATCTCAGCGACTGCAGGAGATGCGGGATCGTTTTCTGCCCGACACGGATGCCTCACAGGCGGCGTCCGCATTGTCGACATTGCCAACTTTTTCGATGCCGCCAAGTGAAGCCGTTGCAGCCTGGCCTTTTGAGGCAAGACGTGAGTTGGCCCGCCTAGCGGCCTACGCGGAGGGTCTTGTGGCACAACATGCTGAAAGCGACCGTTATGCCGAGCTAAGACTGTCGCACGCGAGGTTCGAGAAGGAGGAACTGGGTGAGCGGTGTCGTGTGTATGAGTCTGGGGTGAAGCAGCTGGAGGATGAGACGGAGGCGCTTCGACGAGAGCGGGTGGTGTGGAAGTTGGGAGAGCAGCGTTGGCGACAACAGCTTCTGGAGGTGCAGGAGGATGCGGCGCTCGTGACGGAGTTATTGCAGACCGCCGTCGCGAATGCGGAGAGGGTATTGGAGTCCGTGGCGCTGACGGGCGTAGATCCGCAGGTGAAGACGGAGGTGGAGATGTTCGTGAAGGGTGTGATGCACGACTGGGACACCGTGCGACGCTTTACCACGGCGCTGCAGCGCATGCAACTTTGTGGCTCGCAGTCGCAGCAGCAAAAAGAGGTGGGGAAACTTCCTCTTTCTACGGCGACCAGAACACGGAGAGAGTTTGTTCTGCAGGCGGTTGAGGCTGCAATGGCGCAGAAGGCGCCATCGAGCTCAGCGTCACTGCCGCCACGGACACAAGCAGAGGCTTGGCGGCATCTAGCGCCCGCCCCGAGCTCCTTGCCGGGGTCCTTTTTCATACCTCGTTCGCCCGTCACGCGGAGCATGTCGACGATGGAAGGGGACAGCAACTGGAAGGAGGAACTGCGGGCCATCCACTGGTCATCGCATGCCCCTCACGTGGAGGCACAGTCGCTTTCTCCGCCGCTTCCAACATTTGCAGAAGACGTGGCCGTCGTCACCCGCGAGGGCAGGCAGCGGAGTGAGCGACAACGTGAAGTAAAGGCAACAAAGCCGAGAGCCCGGCGGATACCTCCTCCTGCTGAAAGTCCACGTGGGCTCCTGCCGCAGCCTTCAAGGGATGCAGAAGGTCCTTTCTTCTTCCAAAGGTGCGATCACGCGAAACTCGTGACGTCAACTGCAAAAATAGAGCTGTCTCAGCCTCCGGCATGCCGAGAAGCCAATCCAGTGTCATCCACGTTGGTAAGGCGGGAATTGAGCTTCACCGAGACTCCAGCAGCTGGAGGGAGCAAGGATGTCTCAGTCGCCCTTGGGACGCCCGCCGAGCTCTCGCGCGGCGACAAGCGAACTGAGCTTCCTGTGCCAGAGGGCGCCACCGAAGCCAGGGCAGTAGAGCACCCAAGGACGGATGGGGGGGAGGCCGGTGCGCGTCCAGTTCAGTTGTCCTCAAACTTCGGGGCAGCAATGCTGACAACCTGTAGCGAGGACGTCGAAGAGGTGGTGGAGCCCCTCGAGCTTGGGGAGGGCACAGTTCTGCGCGGCGCCACACCAACGACGTCGTTCGTGTCTGCAGTCACCGCTGCAACCACGCTGGCCACCGATACGGGTATGACAGTGGAGGAAAAGGCTCTCGGTGGTGGAGGTCCGCGACTACAGCCGGAATGCGGGCTGCGGCTGCGGGCAAATGAAGTGAGTCCAGCGAAGGAGCAGACGCCCAGGCCCGCGACCAGCAAAGACGGTGTCAATGTTTCGACGAGTTCGGTCCCCGGCGTAATCACCGAGGCCATGAAGGACCCTAAAAAAATAAACCGGGTAAGCAGAAAAACATGGGAGGCAGATGTAGATGATACCAGCAACGAACCGCGATTGCACATGGTACCTCCTCGAATGGGTGAGCAAAAAAAACAGGCTTCCCAGCGTGAGCAGTTACGATCCTCTTCGCCGACCGTCAAGCCAAGACAGGAACCAGGACCGAGTCAGCCAAACAAGGATGACACAAGGAAAGAGAGCTACACCGCCCTTTACGCGCAAAGTGAAACTGTGGAGGTGACCCTGTCAGATGCTCCCAAGCGTATCAAGGGAAGTGCGGGAGAAGTACCCGCTCTTGCATCTTCGCCGCTTGGCCCGCCACAGGGGCACAGTCTTGCTCCTTCACTAGAGGAGCCACAGCGGATTATTGACGGCGCACCTGCCGACCTTGCCCCGTCGGAGGAAACGGGACCGGAGGCACAGCGGTCTGCCACAGAAGCTTCGCTGGGCGCCCCGCAAGAACCTGCAAACGAAATTGCACCGGTAGTGAAGGAAGTCTCAAATTCGGGGAGGGGGCGTCGGCCACCGGTGGTGATGGACTTTCCGTCACTTTGCCGTCCGACACACGGTCCTGGCGGGCGAAGGAAACCGGGCGAAGAGAAGTCCTAAGCGATAAGGCGCCAGCAATGAGGTTGGACGGACCGATTTGTATAGTTCAGTGGAGACGCAAAAGAAATAGAGGTGAGAGGGAAAAGGGTCAAGGGAAGCAGCGTGGCGTGCCGATTTGTGTACGCTCCCAAAGTTTGCCCGCCTCTTTGCAGCCCGGAGAGGAACTGGTGCTACGTGGGCTTCTCCCCGTAGTGGTGACGGCTCGAGTACGGAGGACAAAAACTTTGCAGCTTACTTTCTCGCTATATCCGTATATGGATTAATGCTGACTTTCTACTTTTATTCCCTTTCCCCCCCCCCCCATTGCCCATATGTGTTGCTTCACACAAGGAAGGTAGTTGAAACGACAAGAGGCGGGAGGCGGGAGCGTTTCGCTTGCTGTTGTTGTTGTTGTTTTATATTATTGGACCTGCGGCAGTGACACACGCACACGTGCGTTGAGCGCAAGCTGGCGGGGCAGTTAGCTCTGTATGCTGGAGAGTAACGCCGCGGGGGCCGCGGCGGCGGCGGCGGCGTCCTCGTCGTCCGCGTTGGGTGGACAGCGAAGAAGGCCCCTCGAAGACGTCATTTCATCCCCAGAGGTGCCGCGTCGCCCCACTACATCGAATATTCACGCAGTGGGCGAGGCGAAGGGGCAGACGTCCCCAGAACATTTGCCGACGGCCCGAAGGTTGAAGTCTGATCAGGACGATGGCGTGGCCGCTCCGCGCAGCACGAAGGCGGCTGTTGCCCCCGCATCCTCTGCGGCGTCGAGCGAGCGAGCGGCAGACAGTAGCAGCATCTCCGAACGCGACTCCCTGCTAGAACGCTTGCGAGAAAAGGAGAAGCAGTTTGATGATAAAATAACCGCGCTTGACGAGACACTCCTGTGTGCTGAGAGGGGTCGCCTGCAGCGAGACTGCATTATTGATGCCCTCCGCACCGAAGTGGCGCGGCTGCGGGCGCAGCTGGAGCTTGCCGCTGGCGCCAAGAGCCAAGCGGAGGAGATTCGTGAAAAAATTCTCAAGGAAAGAACCGTGGCGCTAGAGGAGGCACATGCCGAGATCGAGGTGCTTCGCGACGCACTCCGTGGAAAGGAGCGGCAGCTAAAACAATGCGAAAAAGAGTTAAACCTGCGACAGGCCACCATTGCTGCCAAGCCCCAACAAGCGTTGGCGGCCGCAGCGACGGCGGAGCGGGTGAAGGTGACGCAGCCACAACAACAACAGAAACCAGACGCGTTGAAGCCACTTAGCTCAGCCGGAAATGCCTTGGCAGAGCGAGAGCGAGAGCGAGAGCGAGAGCGAGAGCGGCATCAACGCGAGCGATATGCGTCCAGTTTGCGGGCGCTACAAAAAGAGGTTCAGGCAATTGAGCAAAACTACAACATCACCCGAAATGAGAAGGATGCCCTGGCGGAGGAGAATCATGCGCTCCACTTAAAACTGGAGGCAATTCAAGAGAACATAGAGGCACGTGTGGCGGGAACCGTGAAGGCCATGCAAAGCCACGTGGACCAAAAGCGTGAGCTTGAGGCTGAGGTGGTGGCAACGCGCCTTAGTATGGCGCGTCTGCTTCGACTTCTTCGTGAGGTGCCAGAGATGCGGCGATACTTGCGCGCAAACGAAATAGATGGCGACATGCTCTTCACGGGGTACTCACTTGGCGCCGTGTCACGTGAGCAGAGGACGGCAAGCGACGACGCAGGGCAGCAACTGCAACCTCAGCGACGGCGCAATGTTGGCCTCGCCGCGGTGGCTTCTGGAACCGGCGTCGAGGATGGCGTTTACGGTGGGAGTTTAATGCTGCAGTCAAGCAATATCTACCTAAACGGTCAGTGGTGCAGGCAACTGCAAGACATCATGGAGGACGAGAATAACTTTTTGCGGCGCAGGAAAATTTGCCTCAGTGAGATGGAGGATGCCGCGCGCTGTGGTAGAGGCGGGGATGCTTCCACGCGGTTTCCGCCAGCGTCGGATGTGCTACAGGGCCGTCAAAACGATAAGGACTTTTGGATTCCCTACGCCGTTTTCGTTGAGGCGCAGAAGTTTAAGAATCGGTACTTCCCCTCGCTCAGCTACGAAAGTTTTTACCCCTTCCTCACGGCCGTTAATCAGGTGTGGAACGAGAAGACGAAGCGGCGCGTGGCCGCAGGGGTCAAGCGACGCCTCTATGCGCAGCAGCAGAAGGAGCAAGGAGAAAAGCGCTGTGATGCATTGAAGGATGCGACGGCAGATGCCTTTCCCTCCAGCGATGGCTGGCGTCAAATGTCCTCCTCGGCCCTGAGCTTCTGGCAGCAGCTTCAACACTTGCGACATGAAGTGCGTCGACGGGTGACGGGGAGAAATAGCCTCGAACTGTTTCGTCATTACGATCATTTGGTAAAGTGCGCCTTGAAGCACCTGCGAGAGGTTCAAGAGGAGCATGCGGCTCTGCTGGAGCGACATCAATCTTGTCGGCTTTTTGGACGTAGGCAGGCAGTGATGAACTTTGACGAGGACAGCACAAAGCGGACAATAGACGACGCCGACGAAGAGGAGGACCAGGCCGCGGCTGCGGGGGAGGAGGAGGAGGAGAGGATAGTTGGTATCGACAATGAGGTCTCCGTCCTTCTGCGCCGTGCACTGTCGGCCCTTGTGGTGGAAGTGCAGGAGGCTAGTGAGCGTTCCGCGTCCCGCATCGCGGCCTCCTGCCGCGACCTGCGGGACTTTCTCGAGGCGTTGCGGGATCAGAAGCTTCAAGCAGAGCCCTCTCAGGAACAAGACAAGGGGTTGAGGCAGGAAGCCACTGCTGCTCTTCCCCACACGCGGACGCTGGACTCCGTTCCGGTGTCAACGATGCTCCGCATCATTGATGGGGTGCTTGATTTTGTGGACGATGTGCAGCGGGAGGTGTTCGCTGGACGAAATGCCGTCTCTCGATGCGCAACACGGGCGGATGAGCGATCAGAGTTGCTCCTTGTATCTCTCGACGCGAATGATGATGAGGAAATTGCTGAGGATTCTGAGTCGGAGGCGGCGGCGGTAGACGATGAAGGACGGCAGCGAAAGCGGCGGCAGGGCCGTTCGGGCCGCCCCGACTCATAGAAGTGCGATGGGTCCCTGAGGACACGCATGCGGCGCGGTAGAGGCGATGCTTCCGATGGTACATAGATAGAGATGGGCACGTAGAGTACTACACGCGCCGTGGAAGCGGGAGAGAGAGAGTGAGAGAGGGGAGGCGCCTCTTGCAGTGTATATTTGTGTGTGCCAAAGAATCGCCCAATGCAAAAAAAAACACAGGCAAGAAGGAAGCAAACAACAGCATACACACAACAACAACAACAACAACAACAACAACAAAGAGGGCTGTTGGTTTGACTAGATGCGACATGACTGAATATTTTTGAGGGACATTTCTTCTGAGCCTCTGCGGGGCGCACGCGGAGTGTCGGATGCTGCTGTGGCGGCTGTTGTCGTTTTTGTTTG